GAAACGGATGCCGTGACTGATCCTGACTGGTGGCAAGAACGGGCAACTTGTTTGGGGAGCAAATGAACCCGAAAACTCGCGTCACATACCAGTATACTATTGCTGCCATGATCCCAAGTACTTCATGTATATGAACTCTTTGAGGGTTCATTTGGTCCCCAAGGTTTTTGTTGACTGATTTAACTTCGTGGGGCCCGCGAACCTCGGATTCGAAAGGCACAGGGTGGAGTTTTCTTAATTATGGTCCTTCTTCAGTATAGTCTTGCCTGAGGTTCCTTGTAAGGAGGCCCCTACAAGGCACCCTTGTATTTTGGAGTACGGCCCAAGGACCCGTGCCCTGCACGCCAGCTGCACCGAGGCCGCGTGCGGGTGGCGCCTGCACTAGCCCCTTAACCAAGAACCCTACAAACCCAAGCCTCAAAGCCATCAAACTTGAAGTGTGACCACGACAAGTAGCTGGCAGTGAAGAACTCTACAGTCAATGGACTCAATGTCAGCGAGACCCTACTACGCAACGTACAGCAAAGGCCCCAAGAGAAACACGGTGCCTTCCAACAGCAAAAACGCGGTACCCGTTGATGTCTGCTACGATGAGACGTCCACCATCCGATTTTGTTTCACGGAGTGTTGCAAGAACTGTATAGGCAATGTGTCACTACGTCTGCTTGATCTGAGTCTGGGCATGCCACAAAGGAAATTCGATTTGCTTGGGATGTTCCCCCTTATACTTGCAGTCCTTAATAGGGATTGGAATAGAGGGTACTACAATCCCTATTAAACCTGTTAGGAGTAGTATAAGGGGGAACATCCCAATCTTCTCCAAAGAAACTCTGCAGCCGGTTGTGGCAAACAAAGCTCCGGGCGCCACTGGTTGTTACAGCGTTCCATCGCAGACCCAAACCCCCTCCTGCAAGGCACTAAGCCAACCCTGCACGCGCTAGGAAAGCGGTGACGTACTGCGGTTTTCTGCGGCGCAAAAACAACCATGCTCTGCCCATTTATGTGTGCTGGCTGCTGCCTGGAGCCCAGGAGAAGCCAAAGTAGTCCAGGAAGCTAAGCCGACCCAACTTTGTGTTTGGGAAACGTCTCGGTTTGTTGCGGCGAACGATATGGCAGCTTGTCCTGAGTGGGGGCTTTGACGGCTTGCCAAAGCTGCAAGCAGGCCTGCTGGTTAAGAGCATTGAGGTTGCTGAACTCCGCAATGATTGCACCCTCCATGGCGAGGTGTCCGAAAGGATCGCAAAAAGACAAATGCACAAGGCCTTCTTGGCATGCAATGCTTGCAAAGCAGGCTAGTTGCTTTGTGGCTGACTGGGCCTTCATAGGGTCTTTGTCTCTTCCAACCCAACTCCTGCCGACTCCTGACTGGCAAGCCAAAATAGGCAGCGAACGCAGGGCAAAGCTTCCTTGCATGGTATCTTAGGGTAGTTGCATGGTCCCTTATGATGGGCCCATGATTTGGGACCCCTTGAGGGACCATATTCCGCATGCAAAGTCGAAGTGGGATGGTAGCTGTTGTAGTTTGCGTGTCCCTTGCAAAATTTATCCTTTTCCTCTGCCTTGTCGTCGAGTCGTAGGGAACACTACCAAAGCATTATCGTTAACTGGTACTCCCTTGTCCGATGCAACGCCTTATGCTACGGGGCACGACGAACCTCACCCTAAACCCTTAACCCTAAACCCTAAACCCTAAACCCTAAACCCTCCTAAGTGCACTAGATTCACTAGATTGTGCGAAACATTCTGCACCTAAGAACGTACGACACAATCTCAACAGGGTGAGGACTTCAGCTTGCTCCCGAGTGTTAGGTTTCGAGCCTCTTTTCGTCTTCTTCACGCGGCAAGACTGCAGTATGCATCAGTGCGTTTTGCGTAAAACAGCCCTCCCGTTCCTGGAGAAACACGGGCGCAGTGAACATCTGCAAGTGCACTTACTGTATCCGCAATGTGCCCCGACCTGCGTGAAGACTCATTCGCCCGTCTGCAGGCTCCAGACGTTGAGACGGAATGGACCTGATGCAGAGGCGTCACGTCACCCTAGAAAGCATAGGAGGGCTGGAGGGCTGTTGCCATCATGCTGGGGAACAGAAAGTGGGCCATAGCAGCTTTGCTATACCATGGTGCAGTGAAGTTTGCGGGCTTTTGGGGGAGTCATCTGGGTGTGACTAACACACATATAGAATCCCAATTCCAAGCTGGCTGCAAAATCAACACAAAGGGCCAGCTGAAGCGTATGCGCAGCCCTTCCAGACCTAACCATCACGCCATCTCTTCACTTCGTGTTTGTGCCGTTTGTTCGCATCGTGTCCTCGCGTTGCGCCTCCCTAGATTCATGCCGTGTTTGTGTCGCTTCGTTGCGTTGCATCTTCGTGTCGCGCCTTGGTGTCATGTGTTGCCTCGAATCGGGCTATCGCGTGCCCTTGCATTGTGCTTTCGTGTCGCATCTTGATGTCGAATCTTCGACTCGCGTCTTGCCTTCGTGTCGTGGCTTCTTCGTGTCCACATTCGGGTTCGAGACACTTGCCGTGGCACAGTTCGTCTTGCAAGCACTTACCGTAAGCCTATTACGAAAGACTTTAAAAGTCCCTCAATCAAGCCATTCAAGCCTATGCATCTCGGCAAGCCCCTTGATGCCCTCACCGGGATGCTGTGAAGCCATGTGGCTACTTCGAGGCAGCCCCGTCACTTGTGCCCACGCGATCGCGGTCACTTGTGCCCACGCGGTTTCGGGTCACTTGCGCCCACGTACCCCGTCACTTGTGCCCACGTACCCCGTCACTTGTGCCCACGTACCCCGTCACTTGTGCCCACGTTTCTGGGGGGGTGGGGGGGTGGGGAGGGGGGGGGGATAAGAATAAGCTTGTTTGAGGCGGTCAACACAACCACATCCAGTCAACCACATCCAGTCCCAACGGGTGAGGAGGAGGGGGGGGGAGGGGAGGGGGGGGACAAGAATAACATCCAGTCACCCGCCCTGCAACGGGCGGGGGGGAGGGGAGGGGGGGGGGATAAGAATAAGCTTGTTTGACGCCGGTCACCCGCCCTGGGGGGGGCAACACAACCACATCCAGTCAACCACATCCAGTCCCAACGGGTGAGGAGGGGGGAGGGGGGGGGAGGGGGGGGGGGGGGGGGGGGGGGGGATAAGAATAACCTTGTTTCATGCCACACACCACACCCAGTCACCCGCCCTGGAAACGGGTGAGGGGAGGGACCACATCCAGTCAACCACATCCAGTCCTAACGGGTGAGGGAGGGGGGAGGGGGGTGGAGGGGGGGGACAAGAAAAAGCTTGTTTGACGCGCTCAACACAACCGCATCCAGTCACCCGCCCTGCAACGGGGGGAGGGGGGGGGGGGAAGGGGGGGGGATAAGAATAAGCTTGTTTGACGCCACACACCACACCCAGTCACCCGCCCTGGAAACGGGTGAGGGGAGGGGGGAGGGGGGGCAACACAACCACATCCAGTCAACCACATCCAGTCCTAACGGGTGAGGGAGGGGGGAGGGGGGTGGAGGGGGGGGACAAGAATAAGCTTGTTTGACGCGCTCAACACAACCGCATCCAGTCACCCGCCCTGCAACGGGGGGAGGGGGAAGGGGGGGGGGATAAGAATAAGCTTGTTTGACGCCACACACCACACCCAGTCACCCGCCCTGGAAACGGGTGAGGGGATGGGGGGGGGTTTCGAGGGGCAAAAACGACTGTTGTTGACCAACGCGCCCTGCACGGTCAGCCGCAGGGGGAGCCCTGCACGGTCAGCCGCAGTGCTTGGGAGGGGGTGGAGGGGGAAGGGGGCGAGGGGGGGCTTGGGCGGGCTGGGCGTCTACAGACATCTGACCCAAGGGGAGCCTTCCACGCAAGGCCTCAGGTCAGTTGTTTCTGGGTCCAGGGTTCGGGTTTGGAGGGGTAAACAAACGACTGTTGTTGCCCGATGCGCCCTGCACGGTCAGCCGGAGTGCTTGGGAGGGGGTGGAGGGGGAAGGGGGAAGGGGGGGGCTGGGTGTTTACAGGCATCTGACCCGAGGGAAGCTTTCCACACAAGGCATCGGGTCAGTTCCTTCTGGGAAACGGGCAACCTGAGAAAACTGCGTCCACTTGAATGGGGTGACAGGTGGCAGGGGCAGAGAGCCTGCCGGATGTGGCAGGGACGCGACTTTTCAACCGACAAACACCTCATCCTGTGGCCCTGCCATATTTTAAGACCGAAAGGTGGGCACAAGTGACAGGTCTGCGTTTTGGCGGGAGGTGGCCCAAGGTGCGGCCCTGCTGTGATTTGAGGCACGTACGCGGGCACAAGTGACCCGCGTAAGGCGGGCACAACTGACCAGCCTAAAGCGGGCACAAGCGACCGGTCTGCCGAGACTACTTCGATGGCACCGGCACAAGCTTCAAGCTTTTCATTGGATCCAAAGCGCGTGAACTCAAAAGCCGTCTTTTTGCAGTGCGATTCTGCGAGTGACCCGAAAACAGAACACCCCATGCTCAATCGGCTCAATCATACTGGCTGACGCTGCATGCGCGCACACACACACACACGCACTCGTTAATGACAACAACATCAAAAGGTCACTTGCGTCACAGCTGCATGAATTGAAACACACGTAAACACGTTGGGCATCCGGAAGACATCAGAAGATATTGGCCCCCGGGAAAAAGCACAGCTCGGTATTGAATATGGAAAGTCAAATCCGGTCGTCAGCTGCTTCGCAGGATCCGGCAACTGTTTTCATCACTGGCCACCGCCGTGCCACCAGCGGAAGTTGAATCTTGCCGGACTGTGGTCACTGTAGTCCCAAACTTTCATTTTACTCTTTTAGGGTTTAGGGTTTAGGGTTTGTCTGAGCTGAACAGGCACTTGCGGTGGCCAAACCGCAGAGCGACTTGCCGAATGTTTCCTAAAGAAGAAGACTTTACAACATGGGCAACTTCTTGGAATGGATGCGTGCCAGTGGCCAATGCACTAACCTCGTCCGAAGTTCTCGCACTATAAACACTCTCACTTCTGAATCTGAGCCTTCTTGGCTGGCTTGGTCCTGGAGCCCTTGTTCCCCAGCATGTAGCGCTCAGTGAAGGTTGGGAAGCGGTCACCCAAGGCCGCGAGGATCTCCCGATAGATCTGCGCATGCTGCCTGCGCATGGTGTCGAAGCTGACAAGCACGGGGGTCACGTTGGCCTCCGCTTCCAGCTCGTCATGCCGGCTTGCGAGGTCAAGGACAAAGCGGAAGAGGAGCATCTTGTGGGCGAGGCCATCCAGGGTAGGGAAGAGCGTCAGAGACATGAGCCCGGAGATCAGCACCTGGAGCTTCAGCGACTCTTGCTTCTGCAGTGCAGAGGCCGATGCCTCAACCAGTTCCTGGATGGCAGGCCTCAGCTCCCTACCTGTTTGCGGGTGTCGCCGGCATAGCTCCGCCATCGCCCACAAGATGTTCGTGATTTCGTACGGCTGGCACTCCTTCAAGTGGAGCACGGCCACCCGGACCAGAACATCAAAGGCTGACGCACGAAAGATCCGCAGACTGGCGCATGACCAAGCGAGGATGGTGCAGCAGTTTGCGGGCATGGTGTTGTCGTGGTGCTGCAGCTCGTGTGCTGCCAAGGCTTCGACAATATCCAGCATTCGTAGAACCACTGGATTGCGGCGCAGCTTGTTCAGGGCCTGGCTGGCCCCATCGCATGCGCGGGCCAGGCGGTGCATGGCCGTGGAAAGGTTCACGCCGTTCATCTGATCGAGCTTCGTCTCTGCAACACCGAGGATCTTCACCGGGACCTCTGCCTTCGGAGCTTTGGCAGCGGCGATGATCTCTTGGTTGATGCGCCTCTGGACCTGACTGTCTCTGCGAATGCTTGACTCCATCGATGGTGCCATCGAGAAGGGCTTCAAGGTTCTGGCCGCCGGCTTGGACGTGGCTGCCAAAGCCGGTGATTCGGGTGATGCGGGCGACAAAGGTGACATCGGGGACGACATGGGCGACGTCACGCTCGCGCCGGTGCACTGAAAGCGCACGGGCTCACGGACGCCGGAGGGCGAGGTGCCCAGAATCTGTGCAAGACCCGCCGCCTCCAAACCCGGAGGGGGGCTGAGCGGGCTGCCGGGAAAGCCGCGGCCTGGGCCGTCCAAGCCCGGTGGTACCGAGCGCGCCTTGCCGGGAACGGTCAAGTCCAAGGCGTTGAAACTCTGGCTTAGGAGCTCCGATTGAGCTGCACAAAGGAAGAGGGGAGCCTCCTGGCTCTTGACTGACGACGCCGTGGTGGACACGGACGTCTCTGAGTCAGATGTCGGCAACCGCGAGGAAGTCATGGAGCCTGCAGCGATGGCAAATAGCGACCCCAAATCCGAGACCGTTGAGAGCGTGCATGCCAAACCCCTCAACGCAGAACCGCAAGCCCAAGCCCTTCATGATCTTCATGGCCCTCTTGCCCGACTGATCCCGTATTTCATGAAACAACCAGGTCTTTGCCCCTATACTCCCCGGAAAATGGAGGATTCCGAAGTCCGTTGCTTGCAGCCCGGGGGCCCAGCACGTAGCCCTCGCAAGTGTCGGCTTCTGGTGGTGTCGGTGAGATCTCTTGCATCGGAAAACTGCGCAATGCACTCTTCAAGGACATTGTCCTTGGTATTGCTCTTGCAACTCTCCACTCTGCGGCTGCAGAACAAAATTTTCATTGTTGCGCGAAGTTACTGAAACGAACAACACCAATTTTACCCAAGCTTCAACGACCAGGCCAAAGCGGACAGTTCTCTGGCTTCTGAAGCTACACGTCCCTTCCCTCGTCTTGAGCCGCGAGCGGTGCTTCAAGACTCTGCGGGTTCCAATGCTAGGACCAGGACTTGGGAGCAATAGGCGCCTGGAGCAGTCCAAAGGTAAAGAACAGGTGCCGATCTGCTCAGATGCAGGGCACGCAATGAACTAAGACGTCGACATCTTCAGACGCTGATTCGCAGGAGGATCATCGAAGCCCCCAACCACGGCCGTGCCCGCCTGAAGATCAAAGCAAATGCAATGGGTAGGCAATGGCTCACAAATTTGGGGTCGGGGTCCTTATTCTACAGGAATCCTACTATTTGGGGAGCTAATATTAGGGGTTCCTTATCATAGTAAAATCCAAATGGCAATAGTCCCCTAAACCCTAAACCCTAAACCTTAAACCCTAAACCCTAAACCCCAAACCCTAAACCCTAAACCCGGGGCCCAGGCATGCCCTGGCTGCGTGAACTTCTGGAGCTGCTCCTCGCGCACTGCGGGCCTCCGGCGGGAACATGTTTTTTGAAGGCCACACAGGGTTAGGGTTTAGGGTTTAGGGTTTAGGGTTTAGGGTTTAGGGTTTAGGGTTTAGGGTTTAGGGTTTAGGGTTTAGGGTTTAGGGTTTAGGGTTTAGGGTTTAGAAACAAGAGGCTGTGTATGAGTTGACGACTTGACAGGCTTTGGGTTTAGGGGGGTGCTGATGGAGTTTGGACTCTGTGACAGGGCTTTAGGTGTTTTTCTGGGGCGACGACAAAATGCCTTCAAATTGCCTTCGGCGCTTCAAGGGCCAGCCGCAACACCAGACCAGTCTACACAAAAACCCCAAACCCCAAACCCCAAACCCTAAACCCTAAACCCTAAATTCCTAAACCCTAAACCCTAAACACCCAAACCCTAAACCCTAAACCCTAAACCCTAAATTCCTAAACCCTAAACCCCTGACCTGCTGCCCTGAACCCTAAACCCTAAACCCCTAAACCGTAAGCAAATCTTCCACCACTACCTCGACGACTTTCTCGAAAAGTGAGGGCGCCTGGACATTCGCAAACTCCCCAAACCCCAAACCTTAAACCCTACACCCTAAAGCCCTTCCCCCCTTGCAGAGTCAGAACTCATTCAACGCTCTACTTGGAGGTTCCTTTGGGTACTTACCAGTATAAGTAGGAAACCCTAAACCCTAAACCCTAAACCCTAAACCCTAAAGTTTCGAGGGATCCTGGGCTCTTGGGATTTAGGATGTGCCAGACTACGACTTGACGGCATCACCCTCCACCAGCCTCCCTAGGGTTTAGGGTTTAGGGTTTGCAAACTGCATCAGATCTGTTCCCAAGGCTTGCGACAAGAAGGCCCTAAACCCTGAACCCTAAGCCCTAAACCCTTTTTGCATCAGGACTTGTGCAATGCCCTAAACCCTAAGCCCTACACCTCATCTTGCCGGCCCAGAACCCTAAGCTCTAACCACTTTTCTGGCACGCACGCCGTGTGCCCAGGAGCCTCCAGCCCAAACCTTGAAAACAAAGCGCTAATGGATCCCCAAACCCATTGTTTTTAAAACCCTAACCCCAAGCTTTGCCCTGAACCCTGCAGTACTGGTATAGTAAGCCCTACTGGCAATGAAAACCCAACCCGGTTCTGACGGTTTGGGGCAATACACCCTTCATCCCTAATTAGACTAAAAACTCAACCCCAACCGTTGTCCCATGCGCCTCGCCAGCCCGGCCTGCGTTGCTCAGCGCCGCCTGGGTTCAGGTAGGGAAGTTGCATGTGTGCCGGCAGCCTCAAAGTCCGTTGCTTCAAAAGGGTAAGGGCTTCGGGATGTTTGACTCAGTCGGTGTGAGGCAGCTCAGGCTGTTTTTTTGTGCAAGGTTTGCTGTTCATAATATGCGGGCTGAATAGACACACAGACATATATATATAGAGAGAGATATGAATGTTGACGCATATATATATATATATTTTTTTTTGTGTTATATATATATATATACACATCTACAGAATCTACTGTACGCAAGCCTCCTTGTCTCTGCAAGCAAGTCCGTACCAGAAAGTGGCAAGGCCATGTGGCTACTTCTGGATGACATGGGAGCAAGCACAAGCCGTGAGTCCGTATGGCTTTTCACTCGCCTCGATCTGTGTGCACTCTGGAAAAATAAAATCTTGGGAAGCAATTCCCTGCTTTCACGCAGCTGTTCTCTCGTCAAACCCGTACTAAGCATTAGTACTAAATGCAGACTCTTCAGCTGCGGAAAGTGTTCAACCAAAGGCCCTTCTCTGATTGGTCAGCATGTGGCCAGGTGCGGCCCGAGCGCACTTCCGGGAAGGTTACATGACGTCATGTGAACGGGCTTAGGGTTTCGACATAACGGGTTTGGGGTCTAGGGTTTGAGGTTTAGTGCCCCCGCCCCCCCAGAAGCAAAACAAAAGGTGCTTCAAACAGGATGACACGCGTACACGCGCGCCCATACAGAGACATTGCCATCAGTTTCAGTGGAAGACACCACCGGAGATGGTGTCAAAAACAAACGGTGCGGTATGAAATGGTATTGAGCATGGACAGTCAGATCTGATCGCCAGCTGCTTCGCAGGAGACGATGTTGGAACACCCGACGGGGCGTGTGGAATGGTCAAGGACAGAAGGTCTTTTGTGCTGTAAAACTCAACTGCCATCGTTGGCCACCATCGTGCCACGAGCTTAAAGCGGACGTTGAAGCTAAGGGCCTGGGTTGCCCATGTATTCTCATATGTTTCTATAAAGAAAGCACGGCTGCATGAGCTGAGCTGAAGGCACTCGCTGTGGCCAAACCACAGATTGAATCAACGACCCTGACGCAAAAGGAACATTGGATGGATGCGTGCCAGTGGCCAGCACAGGCTTCAAAAAACATTGTGTTGCCACTCTGATCGCATTCCCACCCCGACCGCATGAGCGGTTGAAGTTCTCGCACTTTAAACACTTTCACTTCTGAATCTGAGCCTTCTTGGCTGGCTTGGTCCTGGAGCCCTTGTTCCCCAGCATGTAGCGCTCAGTGAAGGTTGGGAAGCGGTCACCCAAGGCCGCGAGGATCTCCCGATAGATCTGCGCATGCTGCCTGCGCATGGTGTCGAAGCTGACAAGCACGGGGGTCACGTTGGCCTCCTCTTCCAGCTCGTCATGACGGCTTGCGAGGTCAAGGACAAAGCGGAAGAGGAGCATCTTGTGGGCGAGGCCATCCAGGGTAGGGAAGAGCGTCAGAGACATGAGCCCGGAGATCAGCACCTGGAGCTTCAGCGACTCTTGCTTCTGCAGTGCAGAGGCCGATGCCTCAACCAGTTCCTGGATGGCAGGCCTCAGCTCCCTACCTGTTTGCGGGTGTCGCCGGCATAGCTCCGCCATCGCCCACAAGATGTTCGTGATTTCGTACGGCTGGCACTCCTTCAAGTGGAGCACGGCCACCCGGACCAGAACATCAAAGGCTGACGCACGAAAGATCCGCAGACTGGCGCATGACCAGGCGAGGATGGTGCAGCAGTTTGCGGGCATGGTGTTGTCGTGGTGCTGCAGCTCGTGTGCTGCCAAGGCCTCGACAATATCCAGCATTCGTAGAACCACTGGATTGCGGCGCAGCTTGTTCAGGGCCTGGCTGGCCCCATCGCATGCGCGGGCCAGGCGGTGCATGGCCGTGGAAAGGTTCACGCCGTTCATCTGATCGAGCTTCGTCTCTGCAACACCGAGGATCTTCACCGGGACCTCTGCCTTCGGAGCTTTGGCAGCGGCGATGATCTCTTGGTTGATGCGCCTCTGGACCTGACTGTCTCTGCGAATGCTTGACTCCATCGATGGTGCCATCGAGAAGGGCTTCAAGGTTTTGGCCGCCGGCTTGGACGTGGCTGCCAAAGCTGGTGATTCCGGCGATGCGCGCGACAAAGGTGACATCGGGGACGACATAGGGGGCATGGGCGACGTCCTCGCGCCGGTGCACTGAAAGCGCACGGGCTCACGGACGCCGGAGGGCGAGGTGCCCAGAATCTGTGCAAAACCCGCCGCCTCCAAACACGGAGGGGGGCTGAGCGGGCTGCCGGGAAAGCCGCGGCCTGGCCCGTCCAAGCCCGGTGGTACCGAGCGCACCTGTCTCCCGGGAACGGTCAAGTCCAAGGCGTTGAAACTCTGGCTCAGGGCGGCGAGCTTTAGGAGCTCCGATTGAGCTGCACGAAGGAAGAGGGGAGCCTCCTGGCTCTGCTTGACTGACGACGCCGTGGTGGACACGGACGTCTCTGAGTCAGATGTCGGCAACCGCGAGGAAGTCATGGAGCCTGCAGCGATGGGCCCTACCAAATAGCGACCCTAAATCCGAGACCGTTGAGAGCGTGTATGCCAAGCCCCTCAACCCAAAGTCGCAAGCCCAAGCCCTTCATATCCGCCGGCGATCTCGGGCGAGCGCCAGTGAAGGGCTTCTTCCGCTCTCGCAGGCTCAGTTCACGACGTTTTTTCTGCGACCGACTTTCCTTCCGTACCCCCCTGCAGACTGCCAGGTCCGCTATGTCCGCTGCTGGGTGGGGGTGTTGGCAGTTGGCGCTGCTGAGCACATGTCAGGGAGGAGCCAGGCTCGGGGAGGAGCCAGGCTCAAGTGCTTTTTTGCGACCGAAAGAACCACACACGACAGGTTGACCACCCTCCTTAATTGCCCCCATGACCCCCCCCCCCTTTGCACGCATGCCCTGCACGGTCGAGCTTGCTTCAGTGAAGTGTGCCTGCCCTGCTGCTCTGCGCCTGGAGTCTGGCAGCATTTACGGGGTCGGCGGGAGGTGGCGTTGGCCCTTGGATTTAATCCTTCTGCCTCCGACTGATCCCGTATGCCATGAAAACAACCAGGTCTTTGCCCATATACTCCCCTGGCGATGGAGGATTCCAAATTCCGTTTCTTGCGGCCCGGCGGCCCGGCATGTAGCCCTCGCAAGTGTCGACTTCTGGTGGTGTCGGTGAGATCTCTTGCATCGGAAAACTGCGCAATGCACTCTTCAAGGACATTGTCCTTGGTACTGCTCTTGCAACTCTCCCCTCTCCAACCAGCAGAACAAGAACATGTTCATTGTCAATGTTGTGCGAAGTTACTGAAACGAACAACACTCATTTTCCCAAGCTTCAATGACCAGGCCAAAGTGGACAGTTCTCTGGCCTGTGAAGCTACACGTCCCTTCCCTCAAGAAGTCTTGAGCCACGCGCTGTGCTTCAAGACTCTGCAGGTTCCAATGCTGGGACCAGGACTTGGGAGCAATAGGCGGCTGGAGCAGTCCAAAGGTAAAGAACAGGTGCCGATCTGCTCAGATGCAGGGCACGCAATGAACTAAGACGTCGACATCTTCAGACGCTGATTCGCAGGAGGATCATCGAAGCCCCCACCACGGCCGTGCCCGCCTGAAGATCAAAGCACACGCAATGAGTCACAAGTGGTCACAGTTCACCTTTTCGAGGTCTCGTTAAGACATGCTGCACTAGCTCGTTACCCTCCAGCCTGAGAGATGGTCTTCAGCAAGCGACAACGATGCCGTGCTGAGATGTGCATTCCGAATACAGAGGCGAAGCCCCAAGACAGTCGCTCCAAAAACCTTTAAGTCCAAAACCCTAGACTGGCATCCTTGCCCACAACTGCAACGAGCACTGTGTTCAGTTTAGCCCCAATGAGGGGCTTGGACTCATGCCCAAGGAGCCCAATACCCCTTCAATTGAGGATTATACTTTACGTCATAATTACCAAGGATCCCTATATAGTATATACTTTAAGTCATAATTACCAAGGATCCCTATATAGTATATACTTTAAGTCATAATTACCAAGGATCCCTATATGGTTTAAGGAACATTCCTTGATTGAAGGGTATTGGGCTCTCTGGGCCATGCCTGAGAACCAAAAGAAGCTCAGTGCGTCGACCCGCATCCGAGGCCCTACATTCATCATGCAATCTGTCAAGGACTCGCGGCCGCTTGGAGTTTCGCCACCCGCACTGCACGCACATGGAGTTTAGGGTTTAGGGTTTAGGGATTTACCCGCACCTGAAGCCCGATGTGAGAGAGTCCTGCACCCATGTGAACCTGAAGCCCAGAGCCCGAAACAGAAACCCACAATTTGCTCCCTGTTGTTTTGCGGGCTCCATGGGTATAAAGTCATGCCAGTGGCTTATGCCGAGCTTGTCGAAGTCGAATCCGAAACCAACCCAAAACCCGAAACTGGAAGACCAAACCCCAAACCCTCCCAACCGCAAAAAAAGAGGCATATAGGCCCAAGTACTGCGAGGATTTGTTTCAGGGCCCGTTCGGGCCTGCGGGGCCTGCACGCCCGCCAGAGGCCGCAGTGGCGTTTAGGGTATAGATCAAAATCCGCGACGGCCATGGCACCGTCAGCATGAGTTCACGCTACGCAGTCTCGGGGTTTGAGGTTTGGTGTTCCAGTTGTTCGTTCAGAATTCTGAGGCGGGTTTAGAGTTGAGGGTTTAGGAGGGGGAGCTCTTTATGTCATGCTGCTCTATATACACGTGCAAAAGAATATGCAAGCACGAGACCTGTCAGACGCTCGGCACGCTGACAGCACCTTGCCGCTCGGCAGGCCCCGGCCGAGGCGGGTCGCATAACATTAAGATCACTTGTAGCAACTGTCGCACAGCACTTTCGAGCAGCATGCGTCGGGAACGCAGGTTCATCTGCTCTCACTATCAGCCAGCTCCAGGAATTCGGTCAACAACGACCTGACACGCTGGCGGTACCTGGAGTGGCTTGGGATGCAAACTGGCCGCACTGCAAAAATCCCGATGCGTTTCTGCTGGGCGCAAAACCCTCACGATATTCTGCTAAAGAAGTGACATGCAGGCCTGGCTTCGCGGCCGAAAGTGTTGGCCTAATACAAGCAACATCAATTCCATAACATTCCATAACTTATTGTATTTACAATGAGCACTATAGAACAAACAATGTGACATCCCTGGAAACGGGTGCGGGACCTCGCTGCGAGCTCGCCAGGTGCCGCGTTTTGGGAACCTCACTCTTTTGCGCTCATGAGCATGCCAGGACATACATGTTGAGTTTTGAAGGCTGGCTTCGGGAAATTTCGGCGTCGGAGACCAGTGACCCTGCCACGGCGACAACAAAACGCTATACAAGTACCACGCAACACGTGGCATGCCAACTTCAGCCATTCAATCTGCAGGAAGCTTTCGGACCCTTACAAAACGGGAATCTCGAAAGGCGGGCGCGCCTCCGATGCAACCATGTGATTCGTTGTGGTTGAACTGACTACTTCCACGTGTTTTACTTCTGGAGAATATACATAAACTTCACTCACGCACTTTAACAATCTTGTCAGGATGTTGCTGAACCCACTTTTGTGCTACGTACTACACGAACTGCACTGCCAAGAGAATGCTGCGGCTACTGCTCCCGCTACTGCCAGTCTACCACCACCCTTCGAGCCTTTATTTCATGTTGGCGTTCTGCATCGTACTATACTACGACGACGACGACGATGGCCACGGCCACGGCCACGACCATGACGACCGCCGACCACGACGACCGCCGCCTGCGACGACCGCCGCCGACGACCTCGACCTCGACCTCGACCACGACCACGACCACGACTACGACCACGACCACGACCACGACCACCACCACCACCACCACCACCACTGCCACTGCAACCATGGGTGCGCAGGTGGTACGAACGCCGTTCGGGCATGCATGCTCCGGAACCACAAGTGAACGTGAAACACGGAAACTGCGCGATTCCTGAAGTCTTGAGGTTCAGATGACAAGCTGACACCTGATTGGCAAATTCAGAGCCAGCTTTTCCGAGGGATCTCCCAGCAAGGGGATGGAGATGCAAAACCACGCCGACTACGTCCCGAAACCTCGTTTACATGGGACAACTGCCTGTGAATGCCGAGACGACCCTGCACTTGACTAGCGTGCCACCACCATGCAGCAAACCCTAAACCCTAAACCCTAAAACCCTAAACCCTAAACCCCCGTCATCCTGGAAGATCCGCGAACCTTCTGCAACTGCAGCCCGGAATCCCAGTGAGGAATTCGGGAACTCGGTACGTTACGCTCAAATGAACCCTTGTAAGCCCCAAAACCGTCTTTTGCACCTGGACTCCTTGCTGCCAGGATGCCAAAACCCTAAACCCTAAACCCTAAACCCTAAACCCTAAACCCTAAACCCTAAACCCTAAACCCTAAACCCTAAACCCTAAACCCTAAACCCAAACCCCCCTAAATTGTGAACCTCTTCTGAAACGCCGGGCTCCCAGCAACTCTCGCCTGATCCCGGTGCTCCGGAATCTGGCACCTCTTGGGCTCTGGAAATCGGGAACTGCGGTTTAGGGTTTATAGGATTTAGGGTTTATAGGGTTTACAGGGTTTATGGGTTTATAGGGTTTATAGGGTTCAGGGTGATGGGTTTAGGGTTTAGGGTTTATAGGGTTTAGGGTTTATAGGGTTTATAGGGTTTAGGGTTTATAGGGTTTAGGGTGATATGGTGCGCAGGCTGCGGGCTCAAGAGGCCTGATTGCAAAACAGTTCAGCGATGGCGACACGAAACTGCAAGCCTGATAAACCCCTTTGGCCACGCCCTAAAACCCAAAGTCAGGCAGTGTCAGGTTGTGCTAGAAGCTGGGGGGGGGGGGGTTGTAAGACGTATTTGACTCGACTTTACTATGGCGTCGAACGGGGAGATTAGATGATTAGGAATTATGGTGGGGTATTCGGCCCAATTGTAGGGCCCCTTCCATCCCCAAAGTCATGCTAGCCTCATGCGACTTTGCTGACAAACAGGTCAATAATGCCCTAAACTCTAAACATGGTTGCAGGCAGAAGCGATGAGGGTTTCTAGAGAAGCCGGATGCGTCAGCAAACCGACTCGGTAGGCCATGCCAGTCGCGCACATTGGGGGATTGTCTGGGAGTAACAGGTCCCCATGGTTACGGTCAATTAATTCACTAAAAAGATCCCGTCCCTCTTCTCCACGAGCCAAACGCTGGTTCTTTGCTTGTGGTTCGGATGCTACAAGCTAGGGTCGACAAGCCCCCCTATTGGCCGACGCGGATCGCATGGGCCATGGTTCCAGGTACACGACGCATGGCAGCTGTGCAGGAATGCTATGCACTTGTGCAGAACCGACTGGGCATGGGGCATTGACCACAGTCGGGTTTCTGCACATCTCAACGCCAAGCACAGCTTTTTGATGCAATGGTTCCAATGAGGTGCAAGGCCATCTGCAAAGGACGGAGGCTCATCGAAAGCGCACGCTCCTCTGCCTCACT